TGTTCCAACAAACTAGAAAAGAGGAGCAGGCTAAACCCAAAGAACATAGAAAGAAATTTCAGAACAGAAACCAATGACATAGAAAAGAGAATAAGAGAAATTGACAAATCTTTAGCCCAAGTGACTGAAGCTATTAAAAAGAAGATAAAATTACCAAAATCAGGAATTAGCATCACTGCAGACACTGCAAAATTAAAAAGGATTGTAACAGAATAGAATAACTTTATGCCAACAAATTAGACAACTTAGATGAAATGAGTAAATTCCTACAAAGACAAAAATTATTAAAATTCACTCAGAAAGAAACAGAAAATTTGAAAAGATTAATTACAAGCAAATAAAACTTGAATCCGTAACTACAGATCTTCCCACAAAAAGAGAACAGACCCACAGGATTTTGCTGGTGAATTCTATCAAATATTTAAGAAATCTTAAACTCCTTCAGAAAACAGAGGTGAAAGAAACACTTCCTAACTCATCCTGTGAAGCTAGTATTATTCTGATACCAAAGAAAAAAACATCACAAAGACAGAAGATTACAGACCAGTATGTTTTATTAATATTAACATAGTTGCAGACATCCTAACAAAATATTAGCAAACCAACTCAGGAACATATGAAAAGGATTATATACCACCACCAAGTGGGATTTATCCTTAAATCAACTGATACGACTCACCACGGTAACAAAATAAAAAACGAAAACCACAGGATTGCAATACATGCAGAAAATGCATTAGAAAAACTGAACATACATACAATTCAATATTCAAATCACGAAAAAATTCAAGAAATTAGAGGTAGCATAGAATTTCCTCAACCCAATAAAGGGCATCTGTGAAAAACCTGCAGCTGACATCACACTTAAAGAGTGGTCAAAGATTAAATGCTTTCCCCTTAAGATTGGGAACAAGGCAAAGATGTCTGCTGGCAACACTTCTGTACTAAGGGTCTAGCTAGCTCAGTAAGGCAAGAATAAAAAATTAAAAACATCCAGGCTGTGTGTGGTGCCTCACACCTGTAATCCTAAAGTTTTGGGAGGCTGAGATGGGAGGATCACTTGAGGCCAGAAGTTCAAGACAAACCTGGGCAACATAGTGAGACCCTATCTCTAAAAAAAATTTTTTTTTAACTGGGCATGGTGATGCATGCCTGTAGTTGTGATACACCTGTAGTCTTAGCTACCTGGTAGGTTGAGGCGGGAAGACTGCTTGAGCTCAGCAGTTTGAGGCTGCAGTGAGCATGACTGTAGCAGTGCACTCCAGCCTGAGGGAGGGAAAGAGGGAAGGCAGGAAGGCAGGAAGGGAGGGAGGGAGGGAGGGAGGGAAGGAGGGAGGGAAGGAGGGAGGGAAGGAGAGAAGGAGGGAGGGGGAAGAAGAGGTAGGGGGAGGGGGAGAGGAGGGAGGGGAAGAGGGGAGAGGGGGAAAACAGAGGGAGATGGAAAGAGAGGGACAGGGAGAGAGAGGATATTAAAGGATATTAAAAGCATTGCATCCAGATTGGAAAGGAAGAAGTAAAACTCTATTTGCAGACAACATGATCTTATACATAGAAAACCCAAAGTAATCTAAAAAACCCCAATCCTACTAGAATTAATAAACAAGTTTAGTAAAGCTGCAGAACACAAGAACAATATACAAAAATCAATTGTATTTCTATATATTTCAAATGATCAACTGGAAATCAAAATTAGAAAATACCTTTTACTGTGAGTGAAAACACATAATACTTATATATTCCAGACGCAAAGATGGGAATTTTTTAGAACTGCTGAGAGAAATTAAAGATGACTTAAATAAATGGAAAGATACAACATATTTATAGATTAAAAGACTCAATTTTGTTAGGACTGCATTCTCCCTAAACTGATCTGTATCATCCCACAAATAAAAGACCACAACCACATCCAGAGAATTTTACTGGAGAATTCCCTTTTTTCTTTTTTTTTGAGATAGAGTCTTGTTCCGTTGCCAGGCTGGACTGCAGTCACGCAATCTCGGCTCACTGCAACCTCCGCCTCCCGGGTTCAAGCAATTCTCCTGCCTCAGCCTCCCGAGTAGTTGGGACTATAGGTTGGCGCCACCATGCCCTGCTAATTTTTGTATTTTTAGTAGAGATGGGGTTTCAACATGTTGGTCAGGATGGTCTCGATCTCTTGACCTCGTGATCTGCCTGCCTTGGCCTCCGAAAGTGCTGGGATTACAGGTGTGAGCCACCACGCCCAGCTTTGCTGGAGAATTCTAAATATATATTTAAGAATTCAATGCAATCCCTATCAAGATCCAAGCAGCCTTTTTGTAGAAGTTGACAAGCAGATCCTAAAATTTACATGGGAATGCAAAGAACTTTGGGCAGCATAAACGATGTCGAAAAAGGTCTACCAGTTGGGTGCAGTGGCTCATGCCTGTAATCCCAGCACTTTGGGAGGCTGAGGTGGGCAGACCACGAGGTACCGAGACCAGCCTGGCCAATATGGTGAAACCCTAACTCTACTACTAATACAAAAATTAGCCATGCATGGTGGCATGCGCCTGTAGTTCCAGCTACTAGGGAGGATGAAGGAGAAGAATCGCTTGAACCCGGGAGGCAGAGGCTGCAGTGAGATCACACCACTGCATTCCAGCCTGACTGAAAAAAAAAAAAAAAAGGAGAGAGAAAAAGGTGTACCAAGCTGGAGGGCAGACCCTATCCTATTTCCTAAACTTACCATAAAGCAACTGTCAAATGCACTATGGGTATAAGGACAGACACAGAGATCAAATGAACAGAATGGAATGTCCAAATATAAACTATTAAATTTATAGTCCACTGATTTTCAATAAATGGCCAAGGCAATTCTATAGGTACTTCTGACAAACAGTACTGAGACAACTAAATATCCACATATGCAAAAAAAGGTGAATTTATATCCTCTCACCTCACAATAAGCAAATGCTGAGTCAAATGAACCACAGAATCTAAGAACTAAAATTATAAATCTTCGGCCTGGAGTGGTGGCTCAAGCCTGTAATCCCAGCACTATGGGAGGCCGAGGCGGGTGGATCACGAGGTCAAGAGATCGAGACCATCCTGGTCAACATGGTGAAACCCCGTCTCTACTAAAAATGCAAAAAATTAGCTGGGCATAGTGGTGCATGCCTGTAATCCCAGCTACTCAGGAGGCTGAGGCAGGAGAATTGCCTGAATCCAGGAGGCGGAGGTTGCGGTGAGCCGAGATCGTGCCATTGCACTCCAGCCTGGGTAACATGAGTGACACTCTGTCTCAAAAAAAAAAAAAAATTATAAATCTTCTAAAAGAAAATAGTTTTGTGTTAGGCAAAGTTTTCCTGGATATTAAAAACATTATGCATAGAAAAAAAACTGATAAAAAATAATTTATCAAAACTAAAACTTTTGTTTTTCAAAAGACACCATAAAAAAACTGACATGTTGGCTGGGTGCGGTGGCTCACGCCTGTAATCCCAGCACTTTGGGAGGCTGAGGCAGGCAGATCACCTGAGGTCCAGAGTTTGAGACCAGCCTGATCAACATGGAGAAACTCCGTCTCTACTAAAAAGAAAAAAAATACAAAACTAGCCAGGTGTGGTGGCACATTCCTATAATCCTAGCTACTCAGAAGGCTGAGGCAGGACAATAGCTTGAACCAGGGAGGCGGAGGTCACAGTGAGCCGAGATCGCGCCACTGCACTCTAGCCTGGGCAACAAGAGTGGAAACTCCATCTCAAAAAAAAAAAAAACCTGACATGCCACAGACCATCAGAAAATATCACAAGTCATTTATTTTTTTATATCTATCATATCAGCAGAAATCAAAACTGTGACACCACCCTCTTCTGGGAGAAACAACATAAGTGCTATCAACTTAGGGCTGAAAAGCAAAGCAAAATGAAACCACAGTATGTCCACATAATGGAATATAATGAGGCTAGCAGAATAAAGTAGGGAAATACACTCTACAGACAGATAAAGGCTGTCAGGATATATTGCTAAGTGAAAAGCAAGGTACAGAACAGTATGCACAATAGTATATAGCCTTTTTCCTAAGAAAGGAAAAGAATACTTGTGTTTACACAGTAAATAAAACTGATAATCTATTAGCACTAGGGACTGCGGGTACACAGATCCTTGATAAGGGCACACGGAGAAGGAGATGTGGTCAGATTTCCCACACAGACCTTTCAACATCAATTTTATCATTTGAATGTTACATTTATATTATCTAATAAAATAAATTAGCCAAACACCTTGACCTTCATTTGTTCTTTCGTTTAAAAACTGCTTATTATTATTATTATTATTATTATTAGAGACAGTCTCGCTCTGTCATGCAGGCTGAAGTACAGTGGTGTGATCTCAGCTCACTGCGACCTCTACCCTCCTGGGTTCAAGCAATTAATTCTCCTGCCTCAGCCTCCCGAGTAGCTGGGATTACAGGTGCCTGCCATCACACCCAGCTCATTTTTATATTTTTAGTAGAGATAGGGTTTTGCAATGTTGGCCAGGCTGGTCTTGGATTCCTGGCCTCAAGTGATCCACCCACCCTGGCCTCCCAAAGTGCTGGAATTATAAGCGTGAGCCACCGTGCCCGGCCAAAAACTGCTTCTTAAGCATCTCTGTATGAAATTCTGAGAAAAAAGGCTAATAGGTACCATCACCTTTGATTAACAGAAAAACAGACAATGAACAGGAAAAACTAACCTTTCCTGAAATTTTAATATTCCACTATTTTAATTTTAAAAACAACTCTCTCTGCCTCTATACAAACAAAAAAAGCCTCCATAGGGCTGCCGTGGGATGTTGCAAAATCAAGATTGATAATTACAGATTTGAGCAAGAAAAACAAGATTCAAATGAAGATTTTAAGTATGCCTTGATTCTCTTCAGTTCTAACTTTCAGAAATTATGGGAAACAGAATAATTCTGTATTCAATAATGCTCATGTTTATAAAAAATATAGACAGAAAAAGAGGTCCGTGGCAAAACAGAAAACAAAGTCCTACCTGCTGTGTTGGGTAGGACGGAGGTGGACTGTCCACTTTGCTCTCCTCTGTCCTGGGGTTCCTGCTTCCCAACACTACATCTTCCTTTGGGGCCCCTGGGGGCTCCCCACTACTCTCGCCGTCTGCTTCTTCATCCTCAGCTTCTGAGGAACTACTACTGGTACTGCTTATCTGAGGAGACTTTAAAGACAATCTTTTGTAATTTGTACTTTTCAAAACAGAGTAATACAAAATGTCAGACCACCATTTTATGTCATTACTGTTGCTACGAAGAAGTCATGTCCATACCTCATCCTTCAGGGCCATGTTTTCCCCGCCACCATTCAATTCGCTGTGGATCCCATTCATGTTGGCCACGACCTCGGTATCATCATAATTACTCAATGGATAAATATCAGCAAATTTGGCTGACAATGGTGCAACATCTTCATCATCACTACAACTGACATAAGCAGAGCTGGTCACTGTGAGGTCATTCAATAGAGACAGACAGTAAGTAAACGACCCACTAAGCACAGACATGTCCTGGACAGATCACTGCTTTCATTCACAAAGAGTATTAGTTAAGTATCATTCATCCTACTAATATTTCTTAGTAACCTGAACATGAGAAAAATGCCTAGATGATTAACATCTGTGCCATTTGGAAGAATTTTTTTAAAAAGCTCCCAAAGTAAAAATATTAAGGAAACCACAAAAATTTAAGCAGACTGATTGATATAACATTGCCATTGGACCTGAAGGACACTGGTATAAAACTAGTCTCTCTGCTACTTTCAAGCCAACACAATTTCTAAAAAAATTAAGCCATGTCCATACCGCATCCTTCACGGCCATGCTTAGGTGTTTAGTGTTTGCTTTTTTAAACACCAAATTTTCAAAATAGCCAGGTGAACAAAACTTTAAAGGCATTTAACATAACAAAAGACTAATTTTTTTTTTTTTTTTTTGGCTTTAAGGCCAGTCATGGCCTGGTCACTCATGGTCATAACTAAGTATCAGTTTTAGCAAGATATCTAAGCAACAGGCGAATGAAAAACGAACTGAAACTAATTCTAAACAGACTTCAAGGCTTCAGCCTACAGAGACCACTTAGGATGTATAACCTTCTGATGCATTAAAAGAGCTGGCACAGAGTTCAAACCCAGGGCAAACAGGGTGCTCCAAGGTCCACAAAACATGCCACTGAGTCCATCTTCAGCCTGGGCGCAGAGCAACCTCCAGAAGGCAAAACCCTAGGAACTCGTTGTGATCTCATGTCCTAGAATAAACGAAGAGTGTCCAGGACTACCAAATTCAGGTGTCTTTTCAACACATTAAAATTAATATGCTAGAGGCTGGAGCTCACCAGAGAAAAGTACAAACAGCACCAACAAGGTGCAGAGTGCTAGGGTTTCCTGTAGGCCAACTGCACCTGAGGCACTGTCTGGGCCAACGCTCACACCTACTCCTGAGGATGATCACTGGCACAATTTACAGATGAGGAAACTGAGGTTCTAATGAAGCAACTCAGCCATCTGATGGCAGGAGGCTTCGCCATCCGTAGTTTCATACCTCATAAAGATCCAACCCATAAGATCCAGGAAGCACTGCAGTCTAGTGACTACCACTGCATTGTTCTTTCTAACCAACTTAGAAAAGGCACCAAGAAATACTAATGAAAAGATGACACTGGAGATTTTCAAATCATAGTTTACATTTAGAAGACATTGACCACAAGTTGCTGAAGGTCCAGATGCCCCAAGAACCTGGGCTCCCCATAAGCAGTGATGTAGGCAGTCCCAGTCCAAGGAGAAAGGCTCTCATGGCCAATTTCTTCCACTACCAAATGTGGCACAAGAGCCCCTAACTGGCATTAGCAGCTGTGACAAATGAACAGGGATGAAATTTTCTATCTTAAATTTTCATTAGACTCTTTATGTTTAATTTCTATGTTTCAGTAAGAAGTTGGATAACACCAGCTGCAAAAATGTCTAACATTCTTTCTTGTGCTCTAGAGAGAACACAGTGTTTCTAAGGCAATAAACAGCAGCCTGCAATCTTTGTATGAAGAGAGTGGGTGAGTTTACACCAGTCCTTCCAGGATTATTTTGTCTGAGAACAAGCTCAAACTGAAAATGGAAAGACTGAACATCAGTCACCACGAGAAATCCAGATGGAGGGAATGAACACAAGTCAGTTGGTCAGAGAAATCCAAGGAACACTGCACGGCCAAGGTCAGGAGCGACAATCTCTCCCACTGGGCACCTCCATAGAGAACATGGTGCCTGTGTGCTCTACGATACATATAAACTAAACCTAAGCTGACTTTAGCAACTACATACATTCATGTGCAACCCTTTCGGAGATTAGCATGTGAAGCCTGCCCAAATGACGGGGTCTTTCTGCAGAAATCTGGGACCAGCCAACTACAACATGAACTGGTGACAGCTGCACAGCCACCTTGCTAATACCAAACGTACTTCTAATCATGGGGAAACATGGAAAACAGAAACTCTCAGCGGCTTGCTAAAGCAATCACCTGAGTTCTTAGCAAGATATGAAACAAGCATGAGTGCCGGGCTGATAATGAGGCAGGATGGACAGCGGACTGGTCACCCTTCAGGAGAAGGAGGAGATATGAGGCCGGAATTAGAGACACTTCTCTACACACCAACATGTTTTTTCTTTACTGGCCTTTATTAATTTACCATACTTTATCAGGTAATCAATGTTAAAAGTTTGGGTTTATTGATTTCATGTTTCAAAGCTGCTTTAAAAACCTCCGGGTTCTCTGCATGAAAAGCACAGTAATGACTTTCTGACTTCCGTGGACGTTATTTTACGTGTTTCTCATTACTGGAAGACTTAAATTTCTGAAACTTTATCACAAAGTCACACTTACAAAGTTGGTGCCGAGCCACTCTCTGTGAGGATGAGCCGGGGATGCTGCTGAATCGTGATGGGAGAGCTAGAGCCCGACCCTGAGCTTGCAGACGACACGCTGGGCGGGCTCCTCTCAGCAAGGTAGTCAGGAGCAGGATCCACTTGCAGTGGGAGCTGGTGAATGTGGATGTCGTCAGTGACAGGGGGGTCCATGATACCACAAGTGAGGATGTGTGAGAGGCTGCAGTCATCACAAGCACATCTGATCAGGAATTAAGGACAGTTACCAAGCCGGCCAATGCAGAAGGCTAGACCATGCTCTCCAAGGTTCTGGGCCTCTGCGGAGCCCAGTGAAGGTCTTGTGGGCCGGACACACTAACACAAGCACCCAGGCTTACCTTCTCCTGTAGTTGCAGTTGGGGCAGTCAGGCATGCTCAGACGGGACGACAACATGTGCCTCATGGTGTCCGTGAAGTTGTTTTCACCAGTAACTGCTTTCTTACTGGTTAACTAGAGGAAATTTTAAATGCTTTAATTTTGTTAAGACCCTCCCCGGAGACATAGCTCATTATTTTTCAGTAATTCTGCTAACATGTGTCATGTTCCTGGGCACTGCTTTCTCAGTGGGACAGGACCAGGAACACAGGGGAAGCAGACCTGGAGTTGGCAGCAAGTGGCGACTGAATTGCACAGGGTTCAGTTACCAGGAACCCCTAAACGCTTCTGTCTTCCACAAACATACTGCTGGGTGCCCTCGAAGCAGACACCTGGAAGGCAGGGCTGCTGCAGAGGCCCGGCCTTTACCCTGTCTGCCACGTTTTTGGTACTTGCAAGGTACTGGGAACAGAGCTGTAGGAATGGAGACTGGCACATGGAGGGCAAGGAGTAGGGCCTGGAAGCTATTGAGGGAATGGTGCCACCACTTCCAATAGACAAGGTGAACAACTGCATTTCAAAGACTAAGGAACTCTGGTCCCACTCTGGCAATGGGACAGGTGGCAGCTGGAAGGCCCACTCAAAAGGACAGGACACATGCAGAATGGGGAAAGGGAGGAGGGGAGCATGCCCAACACTGGTGCCACCTGTATACCTGTGGTGCCCAGAGGAGACCAAGGGCATGCAAATGTGGAGATAGGCATGGGGTCAAGGCAAGGGAACCACCATTATTTACAGAAAGGCCAACAAAGTGGAGTTCGTAAAGGAGATGGAGAGAATTGTCAGAGAACAGGAAGAGAGTTGGTGTGGCATGTGGATGGGAGCTCAGGGGAAGCCGAGTTTCCAGATGAAGCCAAGGGCCCAAGACCAGATACAGGACATCATCAGCGAGCTCTGCCACATAGTACCGGCAAAGGTGGAGCACAAGCCTGCCTGGAGGAGGCAACACCAGGAAGATGAGGAAGGGAAAGTCCAGATCTGCTAGCTGCCACATTGAAGGCATGGCACCTGGTGCTGTCTGAAAGTGTGAGTGCTTTGTCTAGGGAAGCTGGGCCCCCATCCCAGCACTGGGACATCAGGCGACATCCTTAACCCCACCCCATTACGCTCCCTCGTATGTAAACTGCAGCTGGCACCACCTGTCTCACAGAGGACCATGGGGGCTCAGGGCAATATCATTTGTAAAATACCCAGGGCTTCTGTGGGATAGAGACCACCCAATACACATGTGTTTTTCTTGAGGAGTATTTGAAAGATAAGGAAATAGATGAACAAAATTAGTTTATCTTGAAAATAAAAACACCGTCTTGAGCAGTTTTTAACACTGGCAGAAGGTGCCAATGTCATCCTCCAATGCTGTTCTAACAGAGCACATCAACGGGTAAAGAAATTATTCGCTCTGTCAGGACAAATTTCTATTTCCTTTAATTGCTCTCTTACTGACAAGCTTACCTGTTCTTCAATGAATCGTCTTTGTTTAAAAAGCTCCCAGTCTTCTGTTAACATGCGCTGTTTGGTTTTCATTGTCATCTGGTAAGGGGATGAAAAAAAAAAAGAAGAAGAAACAAAAATCTTAATACCTGCGACAATTACACAAGACATCTTCAAGAGGAGATTTTCTTAAAATGAGATATATATGAGAAACATCATCTGCAAACAATAAAGATAGAATACTACAAATATGTTAACAGGTGTTTCCCTGTTAATAGGTATTTTTACTCAAAGTCATCACAAGTACTTTTCTCACATGACGAAGATGAGCGGACATTAAAAAGAGAAATTAAGATATTCTGGCTAAATCTGTCAATACAGTGGATGAACGTTCACTATTTGCTGAATGCTCATTATGTGCCCTGAATGTGTTAGAAATAAGCAAGATGGCGGCAGCTCAGTCCTGCCACACAGAGATCTCAGCCTACAGGAAAGGAAGAGCTATTAACAGGCATGTGAGACTTAAAGAAGCAAAGCAAACAAAACTGATGAAGAAGGAATGAATTAAAGGCAAAAAGAGGACTTATTGAGAAAACAGTGAAGCAAATGTGATTAATAAAACCAAAAATTGGATCTCTAAACTTCTGCCATGGCTGAACAAGTGGTGGGAAAGGGTAACAAAAAAACATCAGGTTTGAGAAAGGATAAGGATATGTATGGAGAATGTGTGTTTTTTTTTTTTTTTTTGAGGAGTCTCGCTCCATCACCTAGGCTCGAGTGCAGCGGCATAATCTCGGCTCACTGCAACCTCTGCCTCCTCGATTCAAGTGATTCTCGTGCCTCTGTCTCCCGAGTAGCTGGGATTACAGGCACCCAACACCATGCCCCAGCTCATTTTTGTATTTTCAGTAGAGACCGGGTTCACCATGTTGGCTAGGCTGGTCTCGAACTCCCGGCCTCAAGTGATCCACCTGCCTTGCCTCCCAAAGTGCTGGGATTTCAAGCATGAGCCACTGCACCTGGCCAGAAGATTGTTTTAAAATTGTGAGACAAAGTATCTTTATAAGTTGATGCTTTAAGGTATTCTAAAAAAGAGTTGCAAATAATGGGCTCATGGGCTATTTTGTCAGACCTGCACAATGCCTCTTTTTTAAAATTTTTGAGATTTCATCTAATAATCTATATTTCTGGCTTCTCTTGACAACTCGGTAGCTCTGGTGGCCCTGTGAAGACTGCTGGAGCCAAGTGGGGACTGCCCCTAACGGAGAACAGGAGAACACACGCACGCACACACAGGTGGGGCCTTCACTACCCATGCTCCACACTCCCCCAGGGCCTCTCCCAACTGAGGACACTTTCTAAGGTGAGGGTGGTGATGGCCATGAGCACCAGAGGAACTCTGGGGCCGCTATACTCCATGTCATCCATTTCCATGACGTTCCCTATCCTTGCAGGTGTGAGCTTACAGCCCGTTATCTAAATGATGTGGATAACTTCCTGAGCCAAATTCCATTTGTAAAACTGACTCAATGTAGAAGGAAACCTGACATAGACTAATAAATGTCATATAAAATGAAAAGATACACAAGATCTATAGTTTTTGTTATTCCCTGTAAAAATGAATTAGGCCCCAAAGTTTTATGGTAGGTTCTATCCTTCATGGGACAGAAAATTTACAGTATTCCTGAAAAATTTAAAAAAACACATAAAGTTTCTCAGTTCATTCTATGAAGCTAGTACAACTTTTATAAAAAACAAGTTAAGACCTCAAAGATCAAGACAACTCAATTATACCTCAGATTATAGATATCAAAGTCCTGGCTGGACGCAGTGGCTCACACCTGTATTCCCAGCACTTTGGGAGGACAAGGTGGGAAGATTACTTATGGCCAGGAGTTTGAGAATAGCCTGGGTAATAAGGCAAGAGACACCCACCCTTACAAAAACATTTTTTTTGTAAATAAAATTATCTTTGAGACAGGCTCACCTAGGCTGGACTACAATGGTATGATCACGACTTACTATGCAGCCTCAACCTTCTAGGCCTAAGTGATCCTCCCACCTCAGCCTCCCAAGTAGCTAGAACCACAGGCACACACCACCACACGTGGCTAATATTTTTTTCTTGTAGAGATCGGGTCTCTCTATGTTGCCCAGGTTGGTCTCAAACTCCTCGGCTCAAGCAATCCTTCTGCTTTGGCCTCCAAATCCCACCTGTGCTGGGATTACAGAAGTGAGCCACTGCACCGAGCCAACACCATGGTCCCAGCTACTCAGGAGGCTGAAGCGGGAGGACAGCTTGAGTCCAGGAGTTTGAGACTGCAGAGAACTAATATCTTGTCATTGCACTCCAGCCTGGGCAGCAGTGTGAAACCCTGTCTCTAAAAATAATTTTATATACATATCCTAATACACAGGCACACACACACATCCTACATCAAATATCAGCTAATTAAATTTAATAATAAAGAATGACATATCATGATCTACTAAGGTTTCATCCCAGGAATGCAAGAATGTCTCAAAATTATGCAACCTAAACTCTTAATTCATATAGCAATTGATATAAGAAAAATCATACCATCAAATTTGACATCTTCCTGTTTTATTTTTTACATGATAGCCTAAATAAACTAGAAATAAAAGTAAACTTCTTTAATTTGCTAGCAAGTATCAAAAGTCTGTATGGCAAGCATCAAACTTCATGGTGAAACACTCACAGCAGCCCCTCGAAGCCAGGACTGGACAAGGGTGCCAGTATCAATGCTCTTATTCACACTGGTCTGAAGGTCCTAGTGGAAGCCAAAAAAAGGGGACAAATGCTGGAAAAGATGAGATAAACCTATCATTATTTGTAGAAATTGTCGTGATTTCCTAGACTCCTTGATTCAAGACTCAACTCAAGAACTACAAGAGTTCATGCTGCCATCTGGTGAGATGACTGGTCACAGGGCACCTCCACTTTCCCAGTTCCCAGCAAGAATGCTTTAGAAGACACATTCCCCACTCAAGATGCCAGTCACAGCATGCCCCTCAAACTACACACTGTGGAAGCATAAAATGGGGCAAGATTTACAAACTATAAAACCATAATAAAACATATATTTAAAAAAAAAAGTTGAAAAAGAGTGACATACCATATTCTTGGATGGGAAGATTCAATACTGATGTCAATTCTCCCTTTTCATTGTATATGTCTGCAGTTACTATAAAATCTTAGTGTAGAGCTCAAGAGTTGTTTGATAAATAACATCAATAAAAACCTCTTCCTTGACTCTCTCCTCATAGCTTCTGGGTAAATTTTTAGGGGGAGAACAAATTTGGGTACCTGCAGGCTTATGTATGTGTCAAACAACAAAGAAAGAATGAATTTTAGAAAGCAAACATAAAAATAATTGATTTCAAAGATCTAGCCTGGGCAACATGGTGAAAACTTGTCTCTACGAAAAATAAAAAATTAGCCAGGCATGGTGCTGTGTGCTGTGTTCCCAATTACTCTGGAGGCTGAGGTGGGAGGGCTGCTTGAGCCCAGCAGGAGGAGGCTGCAGTGAGCTGACATGATGCCACTGCCTAGGTGAGAGTAAGAGCCCATCTCAAACAAACAAAAAACCTACTAGCTCTCTTGCCGCATACATACATACTTATAAGTGTGTGAAGAGAGATTCAATTATTTTACATGTATTCAACATTTTAAAACCTTCAATCAGTATAAAATTTCTAAAGTGGTATTGATTAGAAACAACCAATGTTCATTCAAAGGTTTTAAATTAAAATGGCTCCATTGGAGAGTGGAGTGGCCAAAAACCAAGGAGCACCAGGGGCCACCGCAGCCACCCCCAAAGCCTTCGGGGGAACACAGCCCTGCTGACATACTAATTCTGAACCTGTGGCCCCCAGAATTATAAGCATAAATTTCTGTTGTTTTCAGCTCCCCACAACCTCCCACCCACGCATATGATTCCGGAATGACTATTATTCTCTGGATGTTACTAAAGTGGCTCAATTTCCCTAAATTGTTATTAGTGGGACATTGTTTCTCATGGTTTCTTCACAAGAGAGTGAAAATAAGAATGCATCTTCTCATTGCTTTAGTGAAGAGGCTGGTTTTTTCTCTTTGTAAAAATGATGTAACATGCAATTTTAAAGAAATTCAATTTGAGCTTTACTTTTTAAGTGAGACTATTTTTTCTCCCTAGAGAGAACATGTATATTGTTATTTTTACATATATACCATTTTCCCTGGAACAGCAATAATACCATATATATTTCAAAATAATTGTTTAACTTCAAGAAACATATACATCAAGAAATTACTATTCCCAAAGGAATTTCCCTAAGAGGCATTTTTGTGTTTAGTTACAGTTCAATTTGAGAAATCAATCTCTGAAACTAGAACTTTATCTGCTATTTCCATCACATGTGTAACAAAGGACAGCACCCCAGGCTCCTAGGAGCAGGATGTTATACTACGTAGGACACCGCTGACCTAAACCCCAACTGGCCTGCCTGGCTGAGGCCCTCGGAAGCCTCCTGTCATCTACAGATGTGGTAACAACAGGCAGCAGTAGTGAGGCTCTAGCCACACTGGGGATGGCACAGCACTTGGTAAGGGTTCATCTTCCTTCTCTTCCATCTCTTCTCCTAAGTTATCACTAACTGTACTATTTTTCTGAAGTCACCTGAAGGCTATAAGTTATTCACAACCACAGAAGCTTATATTGATACATGATGGGAAAGCCAGGTGATATGGTTTAGATCTGTGTCCCTACCCAAATCTCATGTCAAATTGTAATCCTCAATGTTGGAGGTGGGGCCTGGTGGGAGGTGATCAGAACATGAGAGCAGATTTCCTCACTGGTGCTGTTCCTGTGATAGTGAGTTCTCATGAGATCTGGTTGTTTAAAAAAAGTGTGTAGCAACTCCCCACCCCACTTCTTCCTACTCCAGCCATGTAAGATGTGCCAGCTTCCCCTTCACCTTCCACCATGACTGTAAGTTTCCTCAGGCCTCCCTAGCCATGCTTCCTGTACAGCCACAGAACCGTGAGCCAATTAAACTGCTTTTCTTTATAAATTATCCAGTCTCAAGTATTTCTTTAT